GACACCAAGCCTACAGAAAAGAGAAATGGAAATTAAAAATTAACCCAAAAGAAAGCAAGAGAGGAAAGAGATAAAGAGGGACAAGTAGAAAGCGAACCCGAAGATGATCAGTTTGAATCCCAAAGTATTAGTAATTATGATTATACTAAATGTAAATGAATTAAATGAACATTCCAAACTTATAAAACTGTAAACTTAATAAAAAAAATTTATATAAACTGAAGGCAGTAACAGAAAGATACCTGAAAAACACCTATCTTTTAGGAAAATAAACATGAGTCAAAGAGGAATTCACAAGGAAAATTAGACTATTTTGAATTGAATGAAATGAATACATGCTATCAAAATTTGTGGGATACAGCTAAACTACAAATATATAAATATATAAAAAATACAAACTAAAAAGCTCTACATTTAAATAATCCAGTGTTCAAAGAAAACTTCTACTATTAATACTAAGAAGGAAGTTCTCCAATCAATGACCTAGCATCCACCTTAAGAAACTAGAAAAAGAGTAAATTAAACCTCAAATAAGTAGAAGAAAAAATTAATAGCAGAAAATCAATGAAACCGAAAGTTGATTTCTAAAGAATAATCAGTAAAATAGATGTACTTCTAGAGGCCGTGGCCAAAAATAAAACAGAAGACACAAATGACCAATATGATAAACTAAAGATATCACTACAGATATTAGAATGATAATAAAGGAATATTATAAAAAACTTATGCCAGTTTATTCAACAACTTAGGTGAAATAATCAAACCCCTTCAAAGACACAAACTGCCAAAGCTACCTAAAGAAAAAAATAGATGCAATGCCACACAAACACTTGTAGAAAAAAGGAACATTTCCCAATGCATTCTATGAAGCCACTATCACCTGATATGAAAAGCACACAAAAATATTAAAATGTAACAAAATTATAGACCTATCCCTCATGAAAGCTACTATGACTAATAATTAAGTATAGCAAAGTTACAGGATAAAAGGTTAATATACAAAAATTAATAGTATTTCCATATACTCACACCAGAAACTGAAATAAAAAATATAATTTGGAATAGTATAAAATATGAAATATTTAGGGATAAATTTGACCAAATATGTTCCTAAGAGAAGTTAAAGAAGATGCAGATAAGAGATATATATCATGTGGATCAAAAGACTTAATATTTTTATGATGTCAGATTCTCCCCAAATTTATCTATAGACCAATTTAAATGCAATAAAAATTCCAACAGAATCTTTTGTACAAGTTGACAACTTGAATCTAAATTTATTATAAAGAAATGCAAATAACTAGAATAGTCAATACAATCTTGAAAAGAAGAAAACAGTTGGAGGATTTCTACTATCTGATTGCAAGGCTTATTACATAGCTTGTCAATACAAATTGTACTGGTGTAAACACAGATATACAGATTAACAGAACAGAATAGAGAGCCCAGTAATAAACCAACAAATATATGGCCAATTATAATATTTTCAACAAAGGCCCCATGGCAACTTAATTCAAAAAGGATAATCTTTTAAACAAATAGGGCTGGAAGACTGGGTAGCTAAACAGTAAAACAGAAATATATGTGTCTGTGTGTATATATATATATACACACACCTGAATGCTCACCTCACACTATATGCAGAAGTTAACTTCAAATCTCACAGACCTAAATGTAAGAGCTAAAATAGTGAAACTTTTAAATGGGAACATGGAAGAATCCCTAACTTTGGGTTTGGTAAAGATTTCTTATTTTTTGTTGTTGTTGTTCAGTCGCTAAGTCATGTCCGACTCTTTTGTGACTCCATGGATTGTAGCCTGCCAGGCCCTTCTCTTCTGTCCATGGGATTTCTCAGGCAAGAACACTGGAGTGGGCTGCGATTTCCTTCTTCAGGGGATCTTCATGACCCAGGACTGAACCTGCGTCTCCTACATTGCAGGCAGTCTCCTGCATTATAGGCTGGTTCTTTACTGACTGAGCCAGCAGGGAAGCCCTAAAGACTTCTTAACTAGGACATTAAAAGAAATTAGTACAAAGGAAAACATTTAATAAACTGAACATCTGAATTTAAGACTTTTGCTCTTCAAAAGACACTATTACTAAAATAAAAAGCAAGTTATAAACAAGAAGATATCTGAAAATACACAGGTGATAAAGGTGTTTTATATATACAGAGAGAACTTTAAACTCAATAATAAGACAATCATGGGCTGTGGATTTGAAGAGAGACTTCATAGAAGAAGATATTCTAATGGCAAATAAACAGATAAAAAGATGTTCAGCATTATTAACCATTAGAGAATTGAAAATTAGAATCACAAGGAGATAGTCCTACACATCTGCTGCTGCTAAGTCACTTCAGTCGTGTCTGACTCTGAGACCCCATAGACAGCAGCCCAGCAGACTCCCCTGTCCCTGGGATTTCTCCAGGCAAGAACACTGGAGTGGGTTGCCATTTCCTTCTCCAACACATCAACTAGAATGGCTAAAATTAAAAACAGCACTGACACCAAAGGTTGGCCAAAATGTGGAGCAACTGCAACACTTACACACTGCTAGTGGGAATGTAAAATTTACCACCACTCTGGAACACAGTTTGGTAACTTCATTTTACTACATAGCATTTACCCAAGGGAAATGAAGGCATAAGTCCACACAAATACGTATACAATAAATCTTCACAGAAGACTTATTTATAATGGCCAGAAATAAAATTTCCATCAACTAATAAATAAATTTTAAAAACTGTAGTGTACCCCGTACACTAGAATATTACTCAGCACTAAAAAGAGAAAACTATAGAAACATGAACATGGATAAATCTCAAAATAGAGTATGTACTCTATGTTCCTATAGAAATAATATGTTAGATCATGCAAACTAACCCATTATGGATTATTCAATTCAGTCAGTTCAGTCCAGTCGCTCAGTTGTGTCCAACTCTTTGTGACCCCATAGACTGCAGCAAGCCAGTCTTCCCTGTCCTGGATTATTATTCAATATAATGGATTATTATTCAGTGATAAAAAGAAAAACTACTGATACACTCAAACACTTGGAGGGATTTTTAAGAACATATTATGAATTTGGAGGGATTTTAAGGGCATATTATGAATTAAAAAAAAAAAAGTCAATCTGAGCACCTAAATCTATAAAGTAAATATTAAAAGAATAAAGGGATAAGCAGACAGCAATGCAATACAGTCATAATGGCAAACATTAATACCCTATTTGTATCAATGGGTAGATCATCCAGACAGAAAATAAAGAAAGAAACATTAGCCTTTATGACATGTTAGACCAGACTGAATTAATAAACATAGACAGGACATTCCATCAAAAAGTAGCAGATACACATTCTTCTCACGTACACATGAATCTCCACAACAGATCATATGTTAGCCCACAAGACAGCTCTTAAATTTATTTAAGACTGAAATCAAATCATATTCATTTCCTACTACATTGGTGCTGACATTAGAAATCAATTAAAAGAAGAAAACAAACATCACAAATGTATGATGATTAAGCGTAAGATCATCTGAATAGATGTATTTGATAGAACTGGACAAAAACTTTCATTTATGGTAAAAACTCTCAACAAAGTTGTGTGTAGAAGGAATGCACCGAAACACAATAAAGGCCATGTGTGACAAGCCCAAAGCTACTATCATACTCAACTCATGAAAAGATGCTCAACATCACTAATCAATAGGAAATACAAATCAAAACCATGACAAGATATCATCTCTCACTAGTTAGAATGGCTATTATCAAAAGTACAAGAAATAACAAGTGTTGGCAGGGATGTAAAGAAAAGGGAAAGCTTGTGCACTGTTGGTGGAAATGTATATTGGTCCAATCAATGTGGAAAACAGTATAGAGTTTCCTCCAAAACTTAAAAATAGAACTACCAAATGATATAGAAGTTCCACTTCTGGGTATTTATCTGAAGAAAATGAAAACACTCATCTGAAAAGACATACACACCTCAATGTTTGTTGTAGACTATTTACAATAGCCAAGACATGGAAAGAACTTAAGTGTCCACTGATGGCTGAATGGATATAGGAAATGTGACACACACATACACAGATACACACAGGAATATTATTCAGCCACAAAAATAAGGAAATCTTGCCATTTGTGACAACATGGATGGACCTTAACAGCACTGTACCAAGTAAAATAAATCATAGAGAAAGACAAATACCAGATGATCTCACTTTTCTAGAAGAATCTTAACAAAACAAACAAATCCCCCCAAAAATAATAAGCTTAAGAAAATGAGAACAGACTGGTTTTTAAAAGAGGTGGGGCTATGGCAGTGAGGAGCAGATGAAATGGATGAGAGGGTATAAATAAGTAAGTCATAGGGATGCAATAGCACAGTGACTATACTTAATAATAGTGTACTGCATACCTGAAAGTTGCTAGGAAAGTAAATCTTAAAAGTTTACAAAAAAAATTTTGTAAACATGTATGGTAATGGATGTTAACTACATGTACTGTGGTGGAATTGACCCAGTGTTGGCAAGAATGCAAAGTAACTAAAGTTTATAATCCTGCTGCTGAGCTAGAAATTGATACAGAAAATGATATGTTAAAATACATATATATATATATATATATATATATATAAGAATTATTTACTTGTTGGCACTGCAACTAAATACACTAGTGTACAAAGGTTTTAACTTGGTTTGCCATGAGATAGTTTATTGAGTTCTATATCTATTAATATATTTTATGTACTTTTTAGCATGTATTTTACTCAATTAAAGCAAAATTCAAAAAACTTACCTGTTTTTGGAACTCCCTGGTGATCCAGTGGCTCAGACTTCATGCTCCCAAAGCAGGTGGCATGGATTGGATCCATGGTCAAGGAACTAGACCCCACATGCCACAACTTAAGAGTTCTCATGCCGTGACTAAAGATCCCACAAGCCGCAACTAGGACCCGACACAGACAAATAAATATATATATATTTTGAATTTACCTGTTTTTTCTGTGTTCTGTTCCTGTTTTCTAACCAGTAATCCATTTGTTCCTCAATTTCTTCTATAGAAGTTCCATGATCATAAGATTGAATATATGTACTTTCTAAAGGCGTATATACAGGAAATTCAGGTTTTGGTTTTTTTATTTTAACTTTCTTCTGTTCTAAAAAAAATTTAAAAGCATCAATTAAAAAAATAATAAAAAGAACTAAAATTTTATTCATAGACCTTATCTTGAAAGAACATATAATATATATTGTTCTTTTATAAAAATAGAATTACTTTACTTATATCAGCTTTAAGTTTTATTGTGCATTATCCATGGCATTGTTTTTAAAATAAAACTCATAGATGTTGATGACAGATGATTATTACATAATCCCCATATCAATTTGTGTGTATCTTTAGTATTCGAAGTATTGTTCATGAAACACTTCATTTAGCCATAGTGACAAGAGCCTGGGCATTAGTGTTTTAATCCTACCTTTACTACCTAAGAGTTGCATAATACAGGGCAAGTAACTTAACCCTTAGAACAAGTGTCCATTTTCATTCTGTAAAAGGGAGTTAAATCTAACCTCATAAAGTTGATGTGAGGAAAATTGTATATCCCCTAACACATTACTTGGCAGAAAACTAGCTCTTCAAGATATACATTCATCTTTTCAATATTTTACAAATGCAAAATGTAATCTGGCAGCATCCAGGGTAGTTATCAATAGATGATTATCAGTTTATCAACAGGCCTCTCCATTAAATCCCTTTTTGATTAGTGTTGACACTGAGAAGCCACTCTACTCTTAATCACTACTGTCAAACTCATCCATCCTTAGAACCATATCTTCTTCATCCTCTGTGTATGTATATGTATATGTGTTTACATGCACTGTAATACCAACATAATAAAATTAATATGATGTTGGCATACGAAGAGACAAATTCCTAGAACAGATCAGAGAATTCATAAATATTTCAGTTCAGTGGAAGAAGGATTTAATAAATGTCACTGGCACAAATAACTATCCATTTGAAAGAAAAGTGGACAGAACCTTACAATGTATACCAAAAATAAATCACAGTTGCATAAGAGACTTAAATTTAAAAACCAAGACAATAAAAATATTGAAAAAGAAGCCTAAAATACTAACTATACTATTTAAAGGAAGCAGAAATCTTAACACTGAAAACCCAGATGCTACAAAGATAAAGACAGAATAAACAAATCAAGAGAGAAATAACAGATTTGGAAAGATAATCTGCAATTCAGAGTACAAACAGAAGATATGCATATATAGAATACATAAAGAGATCTTATAACCTGACCTGATAAGCAGCCTAATAGAAAAAAATGGCCAAAAAAATGTGTATTAAGAATACAGTGTTATGGGAACAGTTCTACTTTAAAAGGTTGTTACCATATCTAGAAATTACATGGTACTGAGTACCATGTTTTATCCTATACTGCATCAGTACCTGTGTATATCCAAGCTTTTCAAATGGTGACTTTAAAAAAACCCTGATACCATAAGAGGAAATTAGTAATTTAAATGACATATAAGGCTAATTTAAAGGTATAAAAATATAACTCAAAATGGATCAATGACCTAAGTGTAAGATCTAAAACTCTGATTTCTCTGATATGACACTGAAGGCATAGGCAATGAAAGAAAATAGACAACTTAGACTTCATGAAAATTTTAAAATTTTGTGCATCAAAAGATATCAATAGAGTAAAAAGGCAACCCATATAATGAGAGGAAATATTTGTAAATCATATATCTGATAAGGGATTATATACTGAATATACAGAAAACTCCTAAAACTCAACAATCTGATTCAAAATTGGGTACAGAACTTGAATAGTCATTTCTCCAAAGAAACTCTTATTAGGATGGCTACAAGAAACACACACACACACACCAACCAGAAAATAAATGGCTACAAGAAACACACACACACACACACACACACACACACACACACACACACACCAGAAAATAAATGGCTACAAGAAACACACACACACACACACACACACACACACACACACACACACCAGAAAATAAATGGCTACAAGAAACACACACACACACACACACACACACACACACACCAGAAAATAAAAACCACTGGCAAGGAGACAGAGAAATTGAAACTTTGTACACTGTGGGTAAGAATTTACAATGTAAAATTGTACGGTGCAATGGAAAATAGTATAGCAGTTCCTAAAAAAAGTAAAGATAGAATTGTCATATGATCCAGCAATTCCGCTTCTGGAAATACATCCAAAAGAACTGAAACCAGGGGCTCAAAGAGATGTTTGTTCACCCAAGTTCACAGCAGAATTAGTCACAGTAGCTAAAAATTGGAAGAAACCCAAGTGTTTAATGACAAATGAATGAATAAACAAAATATGGTATACACATACAACAGAATATTATATAAGGTACAGAGTTTTTACTTGGTTATGTTTCCAAATGTACTGGAGTTAGTGACTTGTTATATTACCTTTTCATAAGTTATCTCAGAGAGGACTCTCCCATCCATAAGCATCCTATATCATCAAAGGAAAAATGTTCTAACCCGTTGGAATTACATCTGCCCTATCTCCTTTGTCCTCTTTTCCACCAGTCCCTGAATCAACTTAAAAATCAGCACTAGCATCTCCTTTCCTCATGAGCCTGAGTTTTCTATAGAAATCTGTCTTCCATTACCTTAAGGAAGGTGAATGTTTTCCCGTCCTGCCACCCTAAAGAGGCAAATTCTGTCTACCATGTTCTTACTGTCCCCTTGGCACCCCTACTTGAGCCCATCACTAGGGTATGGGGTGGGGACCACAAAGCCGGAAGACAAACATAATGTCTGGAACAATTGTTTCTTCAGATTAAAAAAAAAACTACCTCTTAAAAAAGAAGGATTTTGATTACTTGATTTTGCTTTTGTTCTTAACTCATATAAGTACAGAGGGGAAAAAAAAGGGAAATATTGAGTTTTCCTTCTACTGTTGATCCCCTCTTTGTCTGAATTTTAAACTTTCAATCAATTTCTTTATAGAATTACTCATTTTTTTTTTCCATTCACAATACGGGTTTTCATTATAGTACTCAGAACTCACATCTACTGACTTAGATTAAAATTCAGAATGTATAAAATGTTAACACTGAACAAAACCTTATATCAATACATATTCAATTTATTTACAGCAAAAACATAAAGTTGATTAAAAATTTGTAGTAAAGAAAATGCTCAAAAATTTCAAATAGATCACATTTCTTCCTAAAAGAAAGATACATATTTATTTTAAAGAGAGCACCCTTTTCAGACTTCCCCCTCTAAAACACCACTGTAGTAAGACTACCACACCCCGCTCAGTGCAACTCTGGTGCAGCCCCTCAGGGGACACTGCAGTCTCAGCAGTAAAGCAGAAGACTTGAGGGCAGATTAGCAATTAGGTCATGAAAAACAGGCAGCATAAAATAGCTATTGCTAATCTGCATGAGATGCATTTACTCAATTAAGCAGATGGAAATGTTATTACGAACTCAGTATTCCAGTGATGGTCTTTAAAATTAAGAAGGATGGGGGCAAATGAAATGCACACTGGGGGATTTGAGGCCTTTATGTATTAGTTCTAAAGTATACAATGTAGAACACTGTAATGAAGTTAACAAAATTAATTAAAAGATTCTTTGCATGTAACCATGAGAGACGACATTTAAAAATACATGACAGTTTTTGACATTATTAACAGCAATATGACTGTTCTTTAAGGGAATGGCAAACTACTTCAGGATTCTTGCCTTGAGAACCCCATGAACACTACGAAGAGGCAAAAAGATAGGACACTGAAAAATGAACTCCCCAAGTCGGTAGGTGCCCAATATGCTACTGGAGACCAGTGGAGAAATAACCCAAGAAAGAATGAAGGGATGGAGCCAAAGCAAAAACAATACCCAGTTGTGGCTGTGACTGGTGACAGAAGCATGGTCCAATGCTGTAAAGAGCAATATTGCAAAAAAAAAAAAAAAAAGAGCAATATTGCATAGGAACCTGGAATGTTAGGTCCATGAATCAAGGCAAATTGGAAGTGGTCAAACAGGAGAAGGCAAGAGTGAACGTCAACATTCTAGGAATCAGTGAATTATGATGGACTGGAATGGGTGAATTTAACTCAGATGACCATTATATCTACTACTGGGGGCAGGAATCCCTTAGAAGAAGTGGAGTAGCCATCATGGTCAACAAGAGAGTCCAAAATGCAGTACTTGGATGCAATCTCAAAAATGACAGAATGATCTCTGTTCATTTCCAAGGCAAACCATTCAATATCGTGGTAATCCAAGCCTTTGCCCCAACCAGTAACACTGAAGCCGAAGTTGAACAGTTCTACGAAGACCTACAAAACCTTTTAGAACTAACACCCAAAAAAGATGTCCTTTTCATTATAGGGGACTGGAATGCAAAAGTAGGTAGTCAGGAAACACCTGGAGTAACAGGCAAATTTGGCCTTGGAGTACAGAATGAAGCAGGGCAAAGGGTAATAGAGTTCTGCCAAGAGAATGCACTGGTCATAGCAAACACCCTCTTCCAACAACACAAGAGAAGACTCTACACATGGACATCACCAGATGGTCAACACCGAAATAAGATTGATTATATTCTTTGCAGGCAAAGATGGAGAAGCTCTGTACAGTCAGCAAAAACAAGACCAGGAGCTGACTGTGGCTCAGATCACTGCCAAATTCAGACTTACACTGAAGAAAGTAGGGAAAACCACTAGACCATTCAGGTATGACCTAAATCAAATCCCTTATGATTATACAGTGGAAGTGAGAAATAGATTTAAGGGATTAGATCTGATAGAGTGCCTGATGAACTATGGATGGAGATTCGTGACATTGTACAGGAGACAGGGATTAAGACCATCCCCATGGAAAAGAAATGCAAAAAAGCAAAATGGCTGTCTGAGGAGGCCTTACAAATAGCTGTGAAAAGAAGAGAAGTGAAAAGCAAAGGAAAAAAGGAAAGATATTCCCATCTGAATGCAGAGTTCCAAAGAACAGCAAGGAGAGATAAAAAAAGCCTTCCTCAGCAATCAACGCAAAGAAATAGAGGAAAACAACAGAATGGGAAAGACTAGAGATCTCCTTCAAGAAAATTAGA